TCAGGAACAATGCAGAACAATAGGATCTGTTCCCCCTTCTCCAGCCACCAGCCACCACTCTTACCCATAATCCATTTGCTACTGTTTACATAATGGATGCATATAAACTCTTTGTATTCATGACTTTTACTACTAATAAAGAAATAAATGAGTAATAAGCAGAAAATAAAAATCAGATCTTCTTAATAGCCTGTATTGTTCTTATAATGGCCTCTGTTTTGGAGCTCCTATTTGTAAATTCATTTGGCTAGCTAAATAGATTTCTTGACAATTCTAACAAAAACCTTATGAATGTTTATTTCTTTTCTTATCTTCAGTCCTAAAACAAAAGAAATTATGAGTATACTTACTCCTAATCTGGATTTGAAGGAAACTTTTTGTAGTTCTTTAGAACATACATGCTTGATTTAATTAAGTTGTTCTTATTTCACTTAAAATTTTATTTAAGTTTTGTAAAAAACCATTTATGCATGTGTGTCTGTAGCTGCCATGTGAATGCTGGTGCCCACAGAAGCCAGAAGAAGGAAGTAAATCCCCTGGAGCTGTCATCCTAGGCAGCATGAGCTGTCTGATGTGAGTTACTGGAATTTAATTCTGCTCCTTTGGAAGAACAATGAACACTTTTAATTGTTGAGCCATCTCTCCAGCCCCTATACTATATTTTGGATAAAGAAATATAATACTTTAAGGTAAAGAAATTTTATGGGATCCCTTGAGAATGTGAAAAGCCAGACAACTATTGTGAAAAAGAACTGTTTTCTTTCCTATTATTCCCTCTCTTCCCTTACCTTCTCCCTTTTCTCTCATAATTCATTGTATGTCAGACGACTATCTGATGGCTACAAAATGTTCAGCTAAGCAGAGTAGCATTGCCTATTTATATAATATTCAGGGGCAGACTTCACTGCAGACTCGGAGACAATAAAACAAGATTAGTTTTTTAAATTAGATTTGTGACCAAAGGCACAATAATAATGCCATCACTCACATCCACTATTATTTGGGACAAATATTTTTAAATGTGCTTTATTTATTTGTAGATTTTTTCAGATGGTATGTGTGTCTGTACGTCTATGTCTGTGGTACTTGTAGCTGCATGAACGCATGAGGGTATGAGTGTTCCTGCACATGTGTTCTGGTCAATAGAAGGCCAGAAGGCAACTTTATATGTCTTTCTTCATGTGCTGTACACCTTGTTTTCTGAGACAGGTTGTCTCAGTGGCTTGAGCTCTCCATGTAGGCTGTGCTGACTGGCTCACCATGGAGCTTCCAGGAATCTTAGTATCTCTCACTCCCTAGCTCAGGGCTTACAGAAGCAAACCCCAGCACTTGACTTGTTGTTACATGGGGTCTAGGGATTTAACTTGCAGACACAGTAGTAACGATCTATAATCTCACACTTCTATGATGAGATGGGAGGCAGAGACAGGGCAATTCATTTGTAAACAGGTCAGCTAGCCCAGCAGTTGGAGTAATGAACAGGAGAGGTAGAAATTAAATAGTGAGACAGGAAGTCATTCTCTGATTTCCACATCATGCCATGCACAATCCTGTACTCACACACAAATCACACACACATTATACATACCTGCAATATAACAGTTATGTATATTATTAATCTGTGCTATTTTTCCTTGGAATCATATAAGTAAAGATGCTGTGTTATTACAAAACATAAGAAGAATTGTACCTTTCTTTAAGTGTTTCTCTGCCATTTGATATTCCTCTACTGAGAATTCTCTGTTTAGCTCTATATCCCATATTTTAATTGGATTACATGATTTGTTGCTGTTTAACTTCTTGAGTTCTTTATATGTTCTGGATATTAGCCCTCTGTCAGATATAGGGTTGGTGAAGATTCTTACCTAATTTATAAGCAGTTGTTTTGTTTTGGTGATAGTGTCCTTTGCTTTACAGAATGTTCAATGTCCTTAGTCATCAGGGAAATGCAAATCAAAACGACCCTTAGATTTCACCTTACACCCTTCAGAATGGCTAAGATGAATAACTCAAGTGACAATACATGCTGGAGAGAATGTGGAGAAAGGGGAACCCTCCTCCACTGCTGGTTGGAATGTAAACTATACAACCACTTTGGAAATCAATCTGGTGCTTTCTCAGACAAATAGGAATAGCACTTCCTCAAGATCCAGCTATACCACTCCTAGGCATATATTCAAAAGATGCTCAAGTATACAACAAGGACATCTGCTCAGTCATGTTTATAGCAGCTTTATTTTTAATAGCCAGAAGCTGTAAACAGCCCAGATGCCCCTCAGTTGAGGAACGGATAGAGAAATTGTTGTTTTCTACCTCCTCTGATATCCATCCTCTTTGCCTTTCTGAATGGGGATTGAGCATATTAGCCAGAGTCTTCCTTCCTGATTAGCTTCCTTACGTGTACAGATTTTAGTACAGATTTTATCCTATATTACATGGTAAATATCCACTTATAAGTAAGTATATACCTTGTGTGTCTTTCTGCTTCTAGGTTACCTCACTCAGGATGATTTTCTCTAGTTCCATCCATGTGCCTACAAATTTCATGATTTCCTTGGTTTTTAATTGCTAAGTAGTATTCCATTGTGTAAATGTACAAAATTTTCTGTATCCATTCTTCAGTTAAGGGACATCTAGGTTGTTTTCAGATTCTGCCCATTATGAATAACACTGCTATGAACATAGTTGAGCAAATGTCCTTGTTGTATACTCAAGTATCATTCTGATACTTTCCCAGGAGTGGTATAGCTGGATCTTGAGGTAGCACTATTCCTAATTGTCTGAGAAAGTGCCAGATGGATTTCCAAAGTGTTTGTATGAGTTTACATTCCCACCAGCAATGGAGGAGGGTTCCCCTTTCTCCATATCCTCTCTACCATGTGTTGTCACTTGAGTTTTTGATCTTAGCCATTCTGATGGGTATAAGGTGAAATCTCAGGATCGTTTTGATTTGCATTTCTGTGATGACTAAGGACTTTGAACATTTCTTTAAGTGTTTCTCTTCCATTTGATATTCCTCTGCTTAGATTTCTCTTTTTAGCTCTGTACCCCTTTTTAACTGCATTACTTTGTTGGTGTTTAACTTCTGAGTCCTTTATATATTCTAGACATTAGCCCTCTGTCAGATGTAGGGTTGGTGAAGATCTTTTCTTAGTCTGTAGGCTGTAGTTTTGTTCTGCTGACAGTGTCCTTTGCTTTACAGAAGCTTTTCAGTTTCATGAGATCCCATTTATTTATTGTTGATTTTGGTGTTCTGATCAGAAAGTTGCCTCCTGGGCCAATGAGTTCTAGGCTCTTTCCCACTTTTTCTTCTAATAGGTTTAGTGTTTCTGGCTTTATGTTGAAGTCTTTGATACACTTGGATTTTAGTTAATAAATATGGATGTATTTGCATTTTTCTACATGTACACATCATTTAGACCAGCACCATTTGTTGAAGATGCTATCTTTTTCCATTTGTATCGTTTTGGCTTTTTTTTTTTTTTTTTTTTTTTTTTTTGTCAAAAATCAAGTATCTGTAGGTATGTGGGTTTATTGCCAGGTCTTCAATTTGATTACATTGATCCATGAGTCTTTTTCAATGACAGAACCCTGCTATTTTTATTATTGTTTCTCCACAGTACAACTTGAGATCAGAGATGGAGATACGTCCAGTAAATCTTTTATTTTAAGGGTTGTTTTAGCTATTTTGAGTTTTGCTTTTTTTTTTTTTTCATATGAAATTGAGAATTGTTTTTTCAAGGTCTGTAAAGAATAATGTTGGTATTTTGATAGGAATTGCATTGGATCTGTATATTGCTTTTGGCAGGATGGCCATTTTTTCAAGGTCTGTAAAGAATTGTGTTGGTGTTTTGATGGGAATTGCATTGACTCTGTAGATTGCTTTTGGTATGATTACCATTTTTACTATGTTAATCCTACCAATCCAGGAACGTGGGAGATCTTTTCATTTTTTGACATCTTCTTCAATTTCTTTCTTCAGAGACTTGAAGTTTTTTTCATACATGTCTTTTACTTGCTTGGTTAGAGTCATACCAAGGCTGAAAAGGGAGTAGTTTCCCTAATTTCTTTTTTATCCTGTTTGTCATTTGTATACAGGAGGGCTACTGCTTTTTTTTTTTTTTAAGTTTATTTTATATCCAGCCTCTTTGCTCAGGGTGCATATCAGCTGAAGGAGTTCTCTGGTAGAATTTTGGGGGTCACTCATCTATACTATCATCTTCTGTGAATAGTGATACTTTGACTTCTTCCGTGTTCAGGCCCCATGGCCTCAGTCTGGTGGTCGTCTCAGACTCTATGAGAAGTTTGTTTGGATCACTCCAACCTGGGCCCTCATTCTCTTCTTCTAGTCTCTGGCTTGCTCCTGGTCCTAGGAGCTGTCAAGGCCTGTGTGGTGCCAGACTGGTGGTCATCTCAGGTGTCAGAGTTTGGGCAGATGCTTATATTACTGGCCCTTGAGATTTGGTTAATGCCTGGATATGCTTATCCTTGTTGTGTAAACCTACCTGATTGGTTGATTAAATGGCCTCTCCTGAGACAGGGAAGAATACAGTAGTTGTGGCTCAGGTTCCTGGGCTTGTGAGGACAAGAGAATCATGGGAAAGAGAAGAGGTTAGGAAGAGAGGAGGAAGGAGAATACCAGGATGGGTTAGGTGGAGAAGAAACAGGCAAGGAGGAAGGAGTCATACCAAGGACAAATATAAGCAAGTATTTATAAGATTATAGAAGGAGGGTAGCCCAGATAAGGATGGTGAAGGTGGATAGCATTGGATGGGGCTGGCAGGTGGAGGGTAAGGTTAGTGAGACACCATAGATGATCTATCTGCCCAGCCCAAGTTACATAAGGCAATTATAAAATCTAGCAGGTGTCTGTGTCTTATAAATTGTGATAGCGGGTTAGATAACATTTCCAGGATAATCTTAGGGCTAATAATAAACATTATATAGTCCAACACTAATTTTCCTTTGCTACAACACTTGGGCTAGCTTTATTTTCAGTGACTGTTAAGCTACTTATCATTCAGATGTTCATAGGTTTGAACACTGAGTATAGACATGGCCTCTCTCCTCTCTGCCACCTAGGGATGAACATGTGACACAGCAGACACACCTGTGATCCTTCTAGGAGCAGGTCATTCCACAATTTTAAGAACAAGGAATTAGAAAAAATGTTAAGTGTCTGATTGCTTCCTCTAAAAGGTGATATTTTATATATTTTTTCTTTTATTTAATTGCATACTTCTTCATTTCCAAATTATATGTCTATAATCCCAATACCTGGTTTCTGTGGGATCTCTGCATTCAGGATCACCATCACCTAAAACCTTGCTTTTTAGACTAGATGACTGGTTTGCAGTCGAACTTTCAGTCTGATGTCCTTCCAAGATCTTCTACAAATATCTATACATGTTTGGGCTCTTCTTGTTGCTATGTTAAAGTGCTCTAACAAAAAAAGCTTAACAGAAAAATGGGTTTGTTTTGTTAATAGTTCAAGGTTGTAGTCTACTATGGTTGGATGTCAAAGCATGTGGAACTTGAAGCAGCTCCCTAAAGCTCCAGCTGCTGTGACTGCCCAACCCAATGGAATATAACCCAGAGCTGTGAGATCAAATTATCTCTTTCTCATAGTATTTTATTACAACAACAACAAAAAAGATAATCTCAAAATTCTCCCATCTAGGATCTCTAGTGCCTGCTTTTCCACTGCACCATTTCCACAGGCCTCCCTCTTGTCTTCAGGTTTTTCCAGCAAAGGTGAGATGAAGGATGTGAGACAAAGCCAGGCAATGGGAATTGTACCAATCTGGCCTTCTGGTCCCATGTACCCAGCAGGCTAAAGAAGCAGTAGAATATTTATAATTAGTTTTTTCTAGTTATTTAGTTTAATTTATTGGGTATAGTTCTGGCTTTCATCACAACTCATTTCTTTGCTGCTACCCAAAATTGTGTTTTCAAACACATGAGAATGTACAAAGTGCCAGCTCAGATAGCATGCACATTTAGTTTTTCAAAAGAATGAAATTATGTCCAATTGACCTGGTCCTGTGGTGACAATACACTAATGTTCATTGGGTCCTAATAAAACTAGTGTAGGTAGCCTACACTTAAATAGAAAGATTCTGTTTACCTTTAGCTAAAGCTTGTTTTGCAATCTACCCTTTTATACTAGCCATTTCTTGAAGAATAAAATAGAAGAAATACAGTGTTAACAAATGTGTAAATAGTTTCAAAGAAAAGTACACAAAATTATTTTACTTTCCAGCAATTCCTTTTCTAGTACAGTTGTTTTCTCAAAATGTTAGCAAGCTAAAAACTGAGTAGCACTGGCCAGCAACAGAACAGTTACCTGCCCTTTATATTGCCTCTCTATAAGAGTTCTTTATATTTTGTTGGGGAGAAAAAAATATAACAAAAGTTTTCTTTTGCTTGTTTTGCATAGACACATGAAGAAGGCGTAGAGCTTATAAGTTCTACCAAGATTTCAAAGACATCAGAAAAATGTCAGGTAGGATACTCAAGAAGAATGAATGAAACTGGCTTCAAATATGTCAGTAATTCTCTGCCATGCTCAACAGCAGTGTATGTGCATATATCGTGTGTGTGTGTGTGTGTGTGTGTGTGTGTGTGTGTGTGAGGACATGTACATGTACAGGTCAGAGGTTGATGATGTGTGTTTTTATTAGATGTTTGAGACAGTGTCTTCCTCTAAATCTGGATCTCATGATTCAGGTAGACTAACTATCTAATTAGTGAACACCAGGAACCTACCCATCTCTGCCTTCCAAGCATGGGAACTACAGATGCCCATCACAATGCCCAATTTTAGATGGTACTGCAGATATGAAATTAGGTCATTAGCACTTTTCTCATTGAGCAATCACCCCAGGGAGAGGAAAGGTTGACTTTTACTTCCCAAGAGACTGAACATGTTCAATACAATTGTCCCCAGGATTCCAACACACAGGTTTTGGTGCCCAAGTATACCATTTGAGTGATTAAGTAATGTAAGTTAGATGTCTGGGACTTTAGGCTATTCTTACAGCCAAGACTTTCAAGTTTCTCAATTCTTTTCTTCTTTATGGAAAAACTACCCTGGTTTATAATGAAGCATCAAGGCAATTATCTTACAAACGGAAAAGATATATTTAGATCATTAACTTTGGAGGTTGAAGTCCCAAGAGAGAATGGCCCTACAGTCTTGGACCTATAGTGGGAACAGCATATAACAAGAAAACTGTGAATTAGAGTAGATATTCATGTCTTGGTCCAGGAAACAGAGTGAGACAGGATAGACAATGTTCTCATAATCCTTTTGAAGGCCTCCCTCCAATGCTGGTTCATTTTAACTATATATTTGACACAAGAGTCTCTGGGGAAGACTCTTAATGAAAATTATCTAGATCAGGTTGGCTTATGAGAATATCTATGAGGATCACCTTCACTGTTAATTGATATGAGAAGACCCAGGCCATTGTGGGTGGTACCTACTTACTAGACTATACCCTGAACTTTATAAAATGAAGAAAGCTAATTAGCAAGCAAGCAAATAAACAGGCAAGCAAGTGTGCATTAATTCTACTCCTCCTCTTTACTATGGGTATGATGAGACTGCCTAACATCTTGCCTTGACTTTTCAGAAAAGATGAAGATGCCAAAACAGAGTTGTGAGCTACCACGGACCACTTCTCCCCTCAGTTAATTGCTGTCAAGTCATTTCACCATACCTACAGAAATGAAAATAGAATACCCCAAACTTAAAGACCTCTCCCTAAACCCCTATTTCTAAAGGTTCCAATGGCACCACCTGAGGACAAAGGTTGCAATACACTAGACTTTAAGAGACAATAAACACCAAAACTGTAGTCTGGTGTCTCTGAAGGGTTCTTTTAGTACCTTTTTAATCTGTAGATTCTACAGCCTGGCCTAACAGAGAGGAGTCTTCCCTTTTGCTCTTCATTTAAGTCTTGTAAATTTGTTGATATAGTGGTGTTTATATCTAGACACTTTTAACCACAAATAACCACCAGAGAAAATGAGGTGAAGCTTAGAGACCAGGTCATAGAGAAAATGGTTAAGTCTAAAAGTGTCCAGACTTTCAAAGTCACCTAGCACTTATCAAGATAAAGGGGCTATGAAATAACACAGTGTAAAGGGCAGAGAGGTGACAGTCGTCATTAATATCAGCATGATTGATTCATATCCTTGAAACGTACCAAACTTTAACTCAAGTTCAGCAACTCTATAATTTATATAAGTACAATGTGTGTCAGTTCATTAGCAGGTCATTAGTGAGCTGGGGGATGAAGTTCTAAAATATCCTCAGGAAAATCACAAGGGCTTGTACCAAGAAATAAGATTACCTTACAAGCTTACTTTTAGAGAAAGGGGTGTGTATGTGTATGTATGGATATATAAATGCCTAATTGTTTTCTCTTTCTATGCATGTTTATGTATGTGTAATGCTTGTATGTGTTGAGTACAGTTGTATGTATGCCACGGGGCCCATGTAAAGGTCAGAGAACAACCTCAGGCGTTGGTCTCCACCTTCTACCTTGCTTGAGGCAGGGTTTCTCATTGCTTTGATATTGTGAACACCAGGCTTACTGGTCTGCACTTCAAGGAATTTGCCTGACTACATTCCATCCCAAATTGGAGTGTTGGGATCACAGTTTCTGACTTTAAACACATTCTAGGTGTCTGACCTTAGGCCCTCAGGCTTGTGCAGCTCACCTGCCCCACTAAACTGTCTTCCAGCCCCAGGCTTACTTTCTACATTTAATTTTCCTTCACTGCTCTGCAATTTGCTTCACTCCGAGGCCAGACTTGGAATTCTCTTTGGTCAGTCATGTGTTTTCCCTGTTCCTATCAATGCATTTCCATCCACCATTCTCTAGCATGTCATTAATTAAATGTGTAGAGCAATTGTTTACAAATAGTACTTTTCAATAAATAATAATGGATTGATTAAGAATTTTGCTTCAAATTCTAATTACAGAAAACCTAATTGCAATAGAAATAATATAATAGCTTTTCAATACAATTTATGTCAGGATGAAAGAGAACTGGAGTTTAAATAATGAATGAAAACTTTTGTAACACATCAAAAAGAAAAAAAGTCCAGTATATTTTATTACAGGGAAGGTGGGGCTAACAGAGACATGGCAGCAAGGAAACACAAATGGGTAAACCTTTTTCATCCTACAGTTTTGTAAACAAATGGCTTTGAAATTGGGTGCAAAGGTTAGCTTTCCTTGTCATTTATTATCACTATAGTTTTATTTTCTGTGCTTTCTAAGGGTGATCATGGGAATAACATTGTGAATATCAATGGTTGCAAAAACAAGACCAACCTGTCAAAAGTGCTTGAAAGAAGCCTCCATTGGAAACACATCTTATACAAAAGTGATCAGGTTTACAGTTACATAAGGCCAGGCAGAACAAGTAAGAACTCTACATGGGGGCTTTTGTTTTCATTTTTTTAAAGGGTGTATTTTTATACCTTGGTGTGTTGGTATATGTGCATACAGATGCTCTTAGGCAGAAGAGGACGTAGGAACTCATGAACCTGGAACTACAGGAAGCTATGAGCTACCTGACATAAGTGTTGGGAACTAAATGTAGGTCCTTCTCTGGAAGAGCAGTATGTACTCTTAACCATGGACCCTAGCCAATAAACTGATTTTACTTCTGGATTTATTTCTCATTCTTTTCCCATTATCAAGAAGGAGTACAAACGTTATATTTCTTCATAATTTTAAATCTATGTATTCCTATTCCTTTAAATTGCTTTTGATCTGTCTGTCTGTGTGTCCATTCTTCCCTGCAATTTCACACACATATACAGAATTTTTTTCTGTTTAAACATCATATAAATATATGCCAATATGTATATTATACATAAAAGTCTACATTCATGTATTAAGTAAAATATGTAGTTTCTAGAATATTACACAATTTTATATATTTCAAAAATTCATATGAATGTTGTCATGCTCTATAAGCTTTTGAAATTGTTTTGCGTTTTATTCAATAATGTATTTCTGAGTCATTTATATTGCTATATGGGCTTGACTTCACTCACTTTACCTATGGTTATGTTTATTAAATGAAATTATTGCAATTCCTTTTTTTC